AGTTAATATTATTAAGTGTTGGTTTGTTTTTATTAATAAGTTTTCCATTATTATTTTTTTTTTATATATATATGTATATGTATTGCTTGCCTTATATGAGGATAACAGTTTGAATAATGTAAATATTGCTTTTCTTCACTTCCCACTTCTTCTTCTTCCCCTTCCTTCTTTACATCCTCCTCCCTTTCTATTACACCCAACGTCGTGTTTGTTTATTTGTTGTTTTAAAATTAATATAGTGTTCATTAGTTTTTTTTTTTAATAAAGCGTTAAGAGGTCATTTGATAAAAATTGCCTGAGTAGCAGATTGAACTGATCTCCTGATTTTTAATTAATGTGTGTGTGTGTATATATATATATATATATATATATATATATATATATATATTATGTTGATACATGTTTAAATCCAATCTAAGCTTTTGGCTCACATAAGCCATTATCAAAGATGACAATTACTTTTCAATATATCAACCAATACATGGACGAAACAATAATGATAGTCTGTTTTTGTTGCATGAAAAATTTCAAAGCAACAACTAACTTGTGTATTGGTTGATATATTGAAAAGTAATTGTCATCTTTGATAATGGCTTATGTAAGCCGAAAGCTTAGATTGGATTTAAACATGTATCAGTATGGTGACTTCTTTTCGTCTTTCAATGATAATGTTATTAAGCTTATCAGACAATATGACCGGAACTTACTTAAAATAAATAGACAAAACTTGTCTATATTATTTAATGAAACATGCATTAATGAAAAATTGCTATATATATATATATATATATATATATATATATATGATTGGGATAAAATATTCAATATTTTTTACATGTGTTTATAACTGGTAATACCGTTATTAGTAGGCTCTTGAAGTACTTTCTTCGTACCGATTTATGTTCTATTTTTAATTTGGGTGGCATGCAAAAACCAATAATTGTAAGTTTGTTGGTTTTTGCATGCTTCCCTAATTAAAAAAGGCCATAATTCTGTACGAAGAAAGTACTTCAAGAGCCTACTAATAACAGTATTACCAGTTATAAACACATGTCAAAAATATTATATCACTAACCTTTATTCAATCCATTCTTAAAGAATCTAATGTATGTTTATCTAAAACAAATAGTATGTATGTAAAAAATGTTTCCAAAAATGTTCGACATGGGGAAAAACCAACAAACGTAACATATATTAGACACACACACACAGACAGAGGCATGGGGTACCCAGTGAGGATCGAACTCACTACTCATTCGTAATTGTTTTAGCACGACAAGCATGCTAACCATTACACCACCTCAAGGTGCCATCCCCCCACCCCCCGCACACACTGATATATATTATCATCTGAATACCACAGAGACAAACTAGAATTATTATACACATATGGAATGTAATATTAATGGTTTTTCAGGCAAGTTCGGAATCTGTCAATTTCTTAAAACTTTAGGTGGATACATCATCTCTCCTTGAATTCAGAATGCTGCAAATTATACTAACATTGGTTTAAAAAGTTGAATAAATTGTGAAACTTGATTAAACAATTTGTTGTAACCTAAAAAAAGGTTACTGAATGAGGAATAACCAAAACAGAGGTTGGAAATGAAATGGTAATCTTTATAACATCAACAAAATACAATACTCGCCAGCAGCATTAAGTAGGTAAACCACTTCTAGTGGTGGAATACTTAGACAGCATATTGATATTTATTGTGTTTTTATACACAATTACAGCACAAGGCCAAAATGGGGAGGAGTTGAGGCTGGTCATCACTATTCCAATTCACGACCCATTCACTCATATAATTTGCCCATTCACCACAAAAACTCATCCATCATCAAACAATCCTCCATGCACCATAATACCGCATTCTCTCAAGGGGTTCCTACAAAACGCGCCCCGTGACATAAAAATTTAATGATAATAAATAATTATACATAAAAATCTATGATGAAAAATGAGAGGGGAGGGAATGAACCCCAAAACAAACTAAACATAAATACAAAGTAAACTAAACATAACTAATGTTAGTAGGGCCCGTCCAACCCTCAAAATGAGAGGCCACTGTATTCTACCCATTGGACAAAATCAAGAGACTCTCTCACTAAGGGAGTGGGAGAGGAGAAAATATGTCAGATTATATATAAAAAATATATATATATATGGACATGGGAAATAAAAAGCTGACCCAGTCAAGATAAAAAGGGGCCAAAACAAACAGCGGAGGTTGGGACTTCGACAGCATATTACCTTCACTTACAATAGTGTCCAACGTATTTATAAAGATTAGGACATGCCCCTTAGTGTCCAAAGGTAGAGGATATAACACAATTAAAAGCAAACAACACAAAAGTAAAACTACCAGAATTTCTTTCTTCTTTTTCTCCATATCTCATTCTCTGATGAAGCATTGATAAAAGTGAAACATGTCAGATTGATAAACGTTTCCTATTTGTTCTTTATCTTATATATATATAAGAAGTAATGGCTTTTTATTTTTATTAATCCGACATATTTTTATTAATTTAAACGTTATTTTTAATGGATGCCCATATTTGACTCGTTTATTCTTTAAACAGCATTTTATTTTGTCTACCAGCCTGAATATTCAAGAAATCTTATTAAAGAAATAATGCACTTTTCAGCAGGATTCAAACTTGTGTCCACCTTTGCAGGAGAAACCATCGTTAGATCGAACATTCTTTAACTATCTGAGCTACAAAATTGCATTGTGATTAAGTGAGGTTCTGTTTTAGCTTTGTGTTACACCTTGAACTTAATCACAACACTTTTCGTAGCCAAGATGGTTAAAGCATGTCAAATCTAACAACAGTTTCTCATGCAAAGGGGGATACAGGTTTGAATCCTTCTTTAATAAGATTTCTCGAATATTCAGGCCAGTAGACAAAAATAAATAAATATACTGTTTAATAAATAAATGGGGCGTCTAGTCAAATATTAGTATCCACTAAAAACAACGTTTAAAGTAATAAAATATATATATATATATATATATATATATATATATATATACATGGTGTGATTATTAAATTGCCACCATTTTATATTTTTAATTTTGCACATGTGCATTGTTTGTTTTTGATTTTGTTGACTGCACAGTATAGTAGGGTCAGTTGGGCACCACCTGTGAGAAAAAGAGCACCATGACACAATTCATTCTGCCAGAAATTTGGAAGCGGCATTCTGTACTGCTTGGCATTCACACCAGAAGCTCCAATACAAACATTTCAGAGTGTTTGGGTGTCAATCTGAAGATTGTGCAGAGTTGGATGATATATCCAGTCAACATCATGGTGTTTGGAATTATCACTGGTGATGGCAACGTTATGCTTCCATTCATCTTCCCACAGGGCCTCAGACTCAACATGGAGGCCTACATCAAGTGCCTTGAAGAGGGATTGCTATCCTGGGTCAAGAGGGTGGTTGCTGGAAGACCATATGTCTGGCAACGGGACTCTACACCATGCCACACAAGCAGGAGAACCCAGCCATGTCTGTCAGACAATTTCTGCGACCACATCACCTCTTACATCTGCCCACTTAATTCCCCAGACTGCAACCTCGTTGATTATTACATGTGGGGTGCAGTTGAGTGAGAGACCAACAAAACTCCTTGTAACACCAAAGATGAACGGAACACAAGGTTTATGGCAGCATTCACCAACTTAAATGAGGAAACCATCCAGAAGAGTTACAGGAAATTCCAAAGTCATCTGGTGCTTGTAGTTGAAGCCAATGGCAGTTTTATTGAATAAATTTACTCTTTTGTATTTGAGGATTTTTGTGTAATTTTGGTAAATGTGTCTGTTAACATGAGATATAATTTTTGCGATTTCATTTTTGTGTAATTTAGAACACAATTTATCCATCGCACCCTGTATATTATGATAAAAATATAATTTTAAGTTATGCCATATTTATGGGATAAAGTGATCAGTATCATGGATACAGCATATGTAAATATAAAAGTGGACATTGAGGTCAGTACCCAACTGCAACAATCTTTTTCATGCTTAAAATTGCGTTTAAGCATGAAACAATCTGTTGCCACCGGATATGTGTCCACTTACATATGCTCTATCACTGATATTCAGGGCTTTTACTCATTCATGCCTACATACACACACACACACATATATATATATATATATATAGCATACCTTCAAATTATATATATATTATCATACCTTCAAATTATATATATATATATATATATATATATATATATATATAGCATACCTTCAAATTATATATATATATATATATTATCATACCTTCAAATTATATATATAGCATACCTTCAAATTATATATATATATATATATATATTTATTTGTAATTTTTATTAAATACAGATACACTACAAATTTTCTGGTACCCTTGATTCTAGAATTATCCATTTTGCAAGACCAACAAGATTCACTTAATAACAATTCAATAATTTGACCTTTGACCCCCTAATTATGCATGTCATATATCTATAAGGTATCATTGACTGTTAGAAACATATTAGACTAAGAGTTGCCAGAAAATCAGTTGGAGCACCTATACCAAATTGACTATTAAAAAAAAATAAGGAATTCTTTCTTTTTTTTTATTTCCAAATTTCTCTTATGTGCTTTGCCTGACTCACACCTGTAACTGAGACTCATACCATTTGGTTACCTGTACACAGTTCCATAATGTTCAAAATTAATTAAGGATTAATTGATTTGTTTTTGTAATTTATCAACCTTTCAAGGTTATTTGAAACCTCAAAATATTTTTGGATTGTAAGAATTTTTTGGAGATAATAATAAATTTTACTGAAACAGGTTCTACTATTTAACCATAGCTGGGGGGAGAAGAGGTGGATTCATACTTTTTCCAATGGTATTTATGTGTAAGTGAATATATTGAACCTGGTGGGATTGGAATTTGGTTCTACAATTTCTAATTTCAAGCTGTTATCAATTACACCCCCCACACATTCAAGCTTACAGCAGTTGGCATTCCTACGTGGTCACCCATCTTGATATTAACCAAGCTCAATGTTGCTTAACTTCAGTGATCATATGAGAACCAATGTTTTGACATAATATGGCCGTAAGCCCTTTAAACCACCCACACATTCAAGCTTACAGCAGTTGGCATTCCCAAGTGGTCACCCATCTTGGTACTAACCAAGCTCAGTGTTGCTTAACTTCAGTGATCATATGAGAACCAATGTTTTAATATGGTTTTTTAAACCACCCACACATCCAAGCTTACAGCAGTTGGTATTCGAAGTGGTCACCATCTTGGTACTAACTAAGCTCAATGTTGCTTAACTTGGGTGATCATATGAGAACCAATGTTTTGACATATGGCTGTAAGCCCTTTTTAAAACCACCCACACATCCAAGCTTAAACCACCCACACATCCCAAAGCTTACAGCAGTTGGCAGTTGGCATTCAAGTGGTCACCCATCTTGGTACTAACCAAGCTCAATGTTGCTTAACTTGGGTGATCATATGAGAACCAATGTTTTGACATATGGCTGTAAGCCCTTTAAACCACCCACACATCCAAGCTTACAGCAGTTGGCATTCCCAAGTGGTCACCCATCTTGGTACTAACCAAGCTCAATGTTGCTTAACTTGGGTGATCATATGAGAACCAATGTTTTGACATATGGTTGTAAGCCCTTTAAACCACCCACACATTCAAGCTTACAGCAGTTGGCATTCCCAAGTGGTCACCCATCTTGGTACTAACCAAGCTCAGTGTTGCTTAACTTCAGTGATCATATCAGAACCAATGTTTTAACATATGGCCGTAAGCCCTTTAAACCACCCACACATCCAAGCTTACAGCAGTTGGTATTCGCAAGTGGTCACCCATCTTGGTACTAACCAAGCTCAATGTTGCTTAACTTGGGTGATCATATGAGAACCATTGTTTTGACATATGGTTGTAAGCCCTTTAAACCACCCACACATTCAAGCTTACAGCAGTTGGCATTCCCAAGTGGTCACCCATCTTGGTACTAACCAAGCTCAGTGTTGCTTAACTTCAGTGATCATATGAGAACCAATGTTTTAACATATGGCATTCAGAAGCCCTTTAAACCACCCACACATTCAAGCTTACAGCAGTTGGCATTCCCAAGTGGTCACCCATTTTGGTACTAACCAAGCTCAATGTTGCTTAACTTGGGTGATCATATGAGAACCAATGTTTTGACATATGGCTGTAAGCCCTTTAAACCACCCACACATCCAAGCTTACAGCAGTTGGCATTCCCAAGTGGTCACCCATCTTGGTACTAACCAAGCTCAATGTTGCTTAACTTGGGTGATCATATGAGAACCAATGTTTTGACATATGGTTGTAAGCCCTTTAAACCACCCACACATTCAAGCTTACAGCAGTTGGCATTCCCAAGTGGTCACCCATCTTGGTACTAACCAAGCTCAGTGTTGCTTAACTTGGGTGATCATATGAGAACCATTGTTTTGACATATGGTTGTAAGCCCTTTAAACCACCCACACATTCAAGCTTACAGCAGTTAGTATTCCCAAGTGGTCACCTATTTAGATACTGACCATGCTTGACGGTGCTTATGTCGGTGATTGTAAATCATCACATAGCATTTGATTTTCTGTCCATTTCTTATTTGTTGATTTTTAGGCTCAAAGAATAAATGTCAATTTTATCCATTGGAATCGACACATTAACCTCAATAAAAAATAATCAATCAATCTGAAAAGTTTGTTAAAAAGAAAGAAGATATTTATGGCATGACGTGTGGTTAAATTGAAATACAAAATGTCCGAGTGAGAAATTCTCACATGTGGAGTTTCAATATTCCAATCTGTCTTTCCTAGTCAAGGAAATCTTAATTTTCATTTCTCTTTTCAGTTCTGATGATGAAAGGTTAGCCGAAGCTGCAGTGTCATTTCGGGACATAAAAAAGAAAGATGAACTGATTTCTTCCTTTGCAATTTCCTCAGCACCAATTCTGATCATTCAGGCAGACAAGAACAAAACTAATGTCAAAGACGGACTAATGTCTGATGTTGAGGTAGAAGCCAAAACAAATGGAAGCCCAATCAAGAAAAAGAAGAAAAAAAATAAAAAACATCGGAAAGAAAAGAAAGAAAATGAAGATAGTGAAGAAGAATCAAGAAGAAAAAAGAAAAAGAAAAAAGAATTTTGTTCATTTGGAAAGAATCAAAGCTTGTGCTGAAGAAGAAGAAGAAAAATGACATTTAGTCTATATACCCTTTGTCCCATAATAACTGCTATATTTGCCTCCACATTCCATACATTAAATGTAACAATTTTTATAGGACAGTCAGCAATTTCTGACCTTCATGCCAGTCCCAAAAAATTGAGTATCAAAAAGATAGTTTTTCCTTTTAACACTGCTATTATTTTGACTACCTTCACTCTTTGGTAATGTTTATTGTTTTAAAAAACGTTGATTACAATTGGAAGAAAACCTAAACACATGATGAAAGTAAATCTATACATTTTTTGACTTGAGAATTTACAACAAAAATATTAAACACTATTTATTTATTAGATTGTTTATTTACAAGAAGAATTTTATATTTACAACATTCTAAAAACTAATACAATTAAAACTAATTCAATGAGATATTTGTCATTTACTAATTTATAAATTTATAAACATGAAAACAATTTTTTATTTATAAATTTATAAACATTTACTAAATTATTAAAATATGCAAGCCAACTATAAGCAAATCCGTATTATTTACCATTTTATAACGTCTGAATCAATTGACAATTAGCCAATGTTTTGCCAACCATTCATATAAATAATATAATAAATAGTGTAAATAAACAATTTAATAAATAGTGTTTATTATTTGTTTTGTCAGTTCTAAAGAACAAAAAGTAATTGTATAAATTTGCTTTTAAATATTAAGATTTTATTACAATTCTAATCATCACTTTTTAAAATAAACATTGCTGAGGAGTGAAGGTAGTTAAAATAATAGTGGTGTCAAGGGAAAAACCGTCCCTTTTACAGGCATGAAGGTCCATGATTGCCAGTCATATATTCTTTTACTATCACTGTCCCATAATAAATGGTACATTTGCATTCACATTCCATACACTAAATGTGCCAACCTTTATAGGACAGTGATAGTATTTTACTATTTCTGTCCCATAATAATTGTTACATTTGCCTTCATATTTCATACATTAAATGTAACAGTTATTATGGGACAGAGGTAGTAAAAATTATATAACTAATGTCCCATAATAATTGATACATTTAGTGCATGAAATGTGAAAGCAAATGGAACAGTTATTATGGGACAGAGGACAGTAACTTTTTTTTATAATATCTGAATGTTATCATATTCCAAGCATCTAAAAAGCAATCTTCATTATTACAAACCACAGATGGAAATGTCTGAGGAAGCCATTGACTCTCAAGTTCCTAAAAGACAATAGGACAGTCATGTTCACATATCATTTTATTGTCGGTACAAAAGGAAATAATGTTTAGTTTGATTCATTAAGAAAATAACTGGTAATTAATGCATTGGTCTCTTAAGTCAGCATTGGTATGTTTGGCTCCCATTTGGTATTCCAGAAATGGGGCCTTGTGCTAGACCTAAATTAATAGTTGACTCATGTAGATGTTAATATGTCAGAAACTACAATAATACTAATTATGACAAGTTTTAATTAACATAAAAAAGTAAATGTAAATTTTAACATGTGAATATTTTGAGTTGAAAAATTTTCACTGCTGTGTTAGTAATGCTCATTAACAGAAAATATCTTTTTCGCTTTTTTTTTTTTTTTTTTTTTAGATAAGAAATTGTCAGTATACACTGACTTATCCCATCTATTGTTCTCATCTTTGGTTGTTATAGATGTTATTATAGACACAGTGTTTCAGCCAAATACCCTCTGGCCATCTTCAACTGTCCATTATTTTGGCTGATGGTGAATATCTTGTATTTGCTTATTGTTGTGTTATATTTTTGTCTTTCTGATGACATTTTGTGTTCGTTCTTGCTAAACCAGATACTGTACTTTTGAATGTGGCCAGAAGGTACTTGACTGAAACATGTCTATAATAACATCTATACCCAATCAATATCAATTGAAATGAAAGAACAATCATTTGAATATGCCAAAGAAGAAAGAAATCTTCTCTCAGACGAACTAATCTTCTTTATTCTGGTCAATTGTCAATATAAAACAGAGACAAAATACTCCTGAACCTTTATTTCTTAATTAAATTAAATTCTTTATTAAATAAAGAAAATTTAAAGGTTAATTTTTTTTCTTTGATGTCTAAACAAATAAAATTTTATTCTTTATCTGTTTCAGTAATATATCATTGAGGCATGTTTTTTTCTTTGATTAATTTTGGTTAGGATATTGCCTTGGGATATCTCAGTTTTTAGTTAATTTGTCTTGATAACTCTCCAAGATTTTTGTTCTCTCTGCTGAGCTGAGTTCGACTTTCAGTTAGATCCATTATATTCACTTACGTTCTAATACCTTTAGGAAAGGTATGAATTTTCTTCTTCTCCCCCAGGCTATGAGTAAACAGCAGGACAGACCAGGTTCTATAGCGTTGGAAGGCAACTGGACTACTGCATGAAGAAATGGCAACCTACTGCAGGAAAAAATCTGCCTTGTCAGTCACGTATCAAAACATGATCACCTAAGTGTGTATCATACATGGCACATAACTGACTAACTGGCTTACTTAATATAGAAATGAACAATGGGAACAAAAAAGAAAAATAGCTGAAACTTATTTGAATTTTTAAAATTAGATTACCAAAAATAAAATGAAATAAATGTAATTAATACTATTTCTGTCCCATAATAGTTGGTACATTTTGTGTATGAAATATGTAAGGAAATGGAACAATTATTATGGGACAGAAGTAGTATTATATAAATAATAATAGACTACCTCTGTCCGATAATAGTTGATACATTTAGTGTATGAAATGTGTAGGTAAATGGAACAATTATTATGGGACAGAAGTAGTATTATATAAAAAATAATAGACTACCTCCGTCCCATAATATTTAGTATAAATGAAATGTGTTGGTAGTATATATATACCACATCTGTCCCATAATAGTGGTACAATTGTGAGTAAAGAAACTATTAGAACATATGGTTGCATTTATCTAGTTCAACAGTAAAACAGTAAGTTGTATGCCTAAATTCATGCTGTTGAGGTACCAAGGAGGAGAGCTCATTAGAACAATTGCCATGAAAATATTTATAGAAAAGACAGAGGGAAGCCATGTTACAGCAGTGCGAAAGTGACTGAAGTTGAGATGCCAGGTCAGGATTAATAAAATTACAGACTCTTCTTTGGATTTTGTTGAGAATCTCGAGATGTACAGCAGGAACACCAGATCAGATATGGCAGCAGAATTCGATACACAGACGAATGGTAGTTTATAAAATTGCAAAATGACTTCTGACGAGAAAAATTGTCTGGCACAACACAGTGAACCAACTTTCCAGTAAAACTATCAATTGATTTAATATAGCACAGTTGGAAACATGAGCCCAAGAAGGTGCAAAGCATTGCTCTCTTGGAGGTTAGCATCAGCCATGATGATGGAAAGCAGAGAAGATTCTGTATGGTGATTAAATGATAGCAGTTTTATTTTGTTTTAGAATTTACAAGAGAGAGAGGATGTATGCTCTTTTCTTTTACACCATTTTGTATGTTGCCACCTAGCGAGCATTAGGAGAAATCTCTTGGTAGACAAGGTTGGGTAATCCCACACTGGAAATAAACTGAAC